CCCATCTACTTGGGATGATAAGGTGGGAGGATGGCTTGAACCTGGGAGATCAAGGCTGTGAGAAGCCGTGATCATGCCACAGTACTCCAGCCTGGTTGGAGTCTCAAAAAAAAAAATTCATGTAGATCCAGTCTACCCTGGCAGCATTCATTTTCCTCCCCGAAGGTCTGTATGTTTCAAGAGATGTAAGGGATTTGTTCAAAGGAAATTGGAGGAAGGGGTTTCGCACCACTGAAGGTTAGTGCCTAAGAGGGGGCAGGAAGGGGCTCTGGAGCCTTTCGCTTTACCCTATGAATGTTCTTGACCCCTGCTGCCCTTGTGCTGCATCCTTCTCAGTCCACACTTCTGCCTCTTGCCGTGCCTCTCCACTGCCTGTAAAACAAAGTGAACACTGAAACCTCCCACCAGCGTCCATTGGCTGATATGTTTCCATTTCCACGCATTTTCTAACCTCTGGATGAGAGAGTACATTCCTGCAATTGCTAAAGCTAAGTTTCCTATTTGGATTGTAGATAGCTATAGGCAGTAATGTGGTCTTCATTATATTAATAATAGGGCCCTGGCCAGGCGCCGTGGCTCACACTTGTAATCCCAGCACTTTGGGAGGCCGAGGCGGGCGGATCATGAGGTCGGGAGTTGGAAAGCAGCCTGGCCAACATAGTGAAACCCTGCCTCTACTAAATATACAAAAAATTAGCTGGGCGTGGTGGCACATGCCTGTAATCCCAGCTACTTGGGAGGCTGAGGCAGGAGAATTGCTTGAACCCAGGAGGTTGCAGTGAGCCGAGATGGTGCCATTGTACTCCAGCCTGGGTGACAGAGCAAGACTCCGTCTTGAGAAAAATAATAATAATAATAGGGCCCCATTGGTTTATTCAGAGAGACTGAGAAAGCTGGAAGAGAGTAGCTTTTCCCAGTGTGAGTCAGTGCGTCAGGTAGCCTGGAAAATCCTAGTAAACAAAAAGAAGTTTATACAATCACATTCTTTTCATAGCTGGTTTGTAGGCATGGCACCAAACCTTCACCTCTAAAATGCAAACCTTCAAGGAAACAGGATTTCAAGGTTTACTGGAGGGATGGGATTAGCCTAGGTCTGAGGGAAGAAGAGCCTGGAAACGAAGTCAATGTTTAAAGCTACTTATATTTACCAGAGTAAAAAGTTGAAAAGTTTCACTTTCGGAACTTTTTCAGTCTTTTATACTGATGCCAGAGTGATCTTTCTGAAGTACATGTGTCGTGCTTATTCTTTACTGTTAAAACAATTTCATGGTTGAAAACTATTAGCTAATTACTGAGTGTTCTTGTGTTCTTACTGTTTTAGTAGAATTGCAACGATTTAAGTATTTGCATCCCTGCCTCTTCCCATGATTTTCATTGTATTTCTATCATATCATGCTATATCCCTTCCGCAAATATCCATACATAACCAGTTAAATGATTTCAGAGGTAGCGAGTCCAGTTGCCTCTGGAAAATTCAGTAGCCGAGCCATAGTGTATTTGCATATTGTAAATGTGAAGTGGATGGGTGTGAGGAATGAATCATATACAGTACAGGACAGTGTGATGCTACAGAGTTGGGCTTTGGAGCATTTGGAGCTGGGTCGGGCCCTGCCTCGCTGACTGCTGGCCTCCCTGCCTCTGCATTTTCTCAGCTCCCCCACAGTCAGGACGAGCCATCTGCTTCTGGAGGTGGCTAAGGGCAGAAGGGAAAGAGCCGCGTAAGGCAGTTTGCACGCTGTGAGTTCCCAGTCTACAGCAGCTGATGCTACAGCTTCTAAGTGTGAAATCCACATCTAGTTCTGAGTCATAAAGAGTTTCGATACAATCATAGGAACATTTATCTACATACATTGTGATTTCATGAATTGCAGTTTATTGAAAATCAGGCTTCAGTGGAAGGGAGACTGGCCCCGGGGTTAGAATGTCCTTCCAACTGGCTCCTCACGAGGGAGCTGTGGGACGCCTCAACCGCTCAACCTCCAGGAGCTCTACTTTCCTTGCTCATATAAACAGCGGGTCGATTAGGTCCCCTTGAAAGTTCTTTCCACCCCCTGGTCCTATGAACATGTTGCACACACTAACTAGGTTCAGATCAACTTCGGTTAGACTATAAGAGGGAGGTGCACATGTATCCCCCGTAGTGGAATCTCATTCGTATTTCATATAATAAGTGATTGGCAGAAATAAGGATTTCATTGGGATAAAATCCTACCTGGTCCTCTAAAATAATGATTGCTCAACCAAAGCATACCTTTTCACTATTTGGGAGGGAATTTTTAATCACACAAAAAGTACATGATTATCATTCAGGTCATACTAACCATATGTATGGAACTAATATTTGCTTTGAGGTACTATTGCAATATATAGAATTTCACACACACAAAAAAACCTACTAGTGCAAAGAGTGAGTAATTCAAATCCATAGTTTTTCCCTAGACTTTATTTTAGTGAATGGAGTTGCAAGAGCAGTTAGGAAGTAGCTATGTTTTAATGTTTTGACTTCTGTTGTGTTTTATTTTACCGTCAATTGCCATTGCTAATGAGTCTCTAGAAGCAAAAGAAAATCCCAGAATACTAAAGCTGCAGTTTCCAGAAGCAAGGTCTGATTCACTCTTACTTTGCAGATGAAGGGGCGGGAGCTCAGAAAGCAAGAAAGAAAGGAGCTCATTGCCTGACCCAGGTCACACAGTCAGTCGGTGGCAAAGTAGAGCTGTGACCCAGGCCTCCGGGCTCCAGCTCCTTTCACTGGATCTGGCTGCTGCCTCAGAAGCAAGGGCCTGGGTGATCAGCAGGTTGCACGGTTGAGCTGTGAGAGACCAGAGTTATCACGCCTGTAGATGACTGGTGATCCCCTCCATGAAGCCAGTCGCAAGCAAGCAGCAAAGAGCAGAGCTGTAACTTGACTGTTGGTCCTATGTGGATAGAGACCTTTTCTGCCTGGTCTCCCATGTAGCCCCAGCCCCCATCCTCGTGCCTGTTGCAGAATAGGTGCTAAGTAAATATTTGTTGACTGAAGGAACATAAGAGAAACCTCCCATGTCAGTGATGGAACATTTAGTAAACATGGCTTCCTTCTTCTTGAAGGTTCTTGAGCACGTGCCCCTGCTGCTGTATATCTTGGCAGCAAAAACATTAATTCTCTGCCTGGCATTTGCTGGAGTGAAAATATACCAAAGAAAAAGATTGGAAGCAAAACAACAAAAACTGGAGGCTGAAAGGAAGAAGCAATCAGAGAAAAAAGATAACTGAAGGTGAGTCCACAGTACCCGGCCTTGCGAGTGGGAGCTGGCCAGTGGGTTGGGGTGACCGACCAGTGAACGAGAGAGGTCTGAGACTTCCCTGTCCTTCGGGTCTGAAGGGCTGAGTGGGGGCATGTGGCCTCTCACCTGTTCTAAGGTAGAACCGCTCCATAAAGGGCCAGGTGTGCAGATCCTGGTCCTGGGATCTGAGTGCTGCTGAGCCAAGGCGCACGGAGGATGAGTTCATCCTTCTCGAAACCTGCAGTGGCAGTGGTTCTTGACAGGTATTGGGTTAAAAATTGAGGACTTAATGACAGCTGTGGACCTTCTTCCCAGAGAAGCACACATGCTAAAACCATCTGCGTTTGTGTGTGGGGAGAAGTTTGCAGAAGTGAGGCGTCCAGGAGCACAAGACCAGCCTGGGCAACACAGCAAGACCCCTTCTCTACTAAACATTGTTTTACAAATCTAGCCAATGTGGTGGCATGCTTTTGTAGTCCTGGCTACTCGGGAGGCTGGGGTGGGAGGATTTATGGAGCCCAGGAGGCTGAGGCTGCAGTGAGCCAAGATTGTGCCACTGCCCCACTCTAGCCTAGGTGACAGAGTAGGATCCCATATCTTAAAGGTCATTTGAAATTCTAAGATTAAGAAACCCTGTTATCTTTAAGATAAAGTCTGACTCCATGGTATGACAAATAAATCCCTTCCCAGTCTGGTCTTAACCCAGACCTCATTTGCCACTTCTCTCCACTCCCCATCCCCCTACAGGCCATTCCTCTGCCACCATGGCCTTTGGCCTTGCTTATTAGGTTCTTCCCAAGGACCTCCTCACTAGGCTTGAGGGTGCAGTCATCCTTGTCACCCAGTGCCTATCACAGTACACACTGGCGGGCTTAGAACATACTTGGGGAGTTACAGTACATCAAAGCACCAGAAAGTTACTGGTAAGCCCCTGTTACAGATTTAACACATGACAATTCACAATTACCTTGATTCCAGTGTGTTGATGCCGTTTCTTCACTTTGCAGGTTGAGTGCTGTACTTTAAAAATCAGAGGATTCAGCAAGGTGTGGTGACTCATGCCTGTAATCCCAGTGCTTTGGGAGGCAGAGGTGGGAGGATCATTTGAGCTGATGAGTTCAAGACCAGCCTGGGCAACATAGTGAGACCCCATCTCTACAAAAACTTAAAAAAAAAAAAAAGCTTAGCCTCACGCTTATTGGGTGTGGTGGCACATGCCTGTAGTCTCAGCTACTCGGGAGACTGAGGTGGAGGATGGCTTGAGCCCAGGAGTTCAAGGCTGCAGTGAGCCATGATCACACCACTGCACTCCAGCCTGAGTGACAGAGCGAGACCCTGTCTAAAAAAAAAAGGATTCAAATGTGGTGATGGTGGGGTTCTAGGTCAGTGGTTCCCAAACCTGGCTAATGATCAGAATTGCCCAGGTGTTTGTTTAAATGAAGATTCCCAGGCTTCAGCCCAGAGAGATTCCATAATGGCTCTGGTTAGGTTTGGGTGTCTGGGTTTTTTGTTGTTGTTTTTAGGATATGGGATCCTACTCTGTCAGCTAGGCTAGAGAGGTGCAGTGGCACAATCTCGGCTCACTGCAGCCTCGTCCTCCTGGGCTCAGGCAGTCCTCCCACCTCAGCCTCCCGAGTAGCCAGGACTACAAGAGCATGCCACCATGCCGGCGAGGTTTTTAAAACAATTTTTAGTAGAGAAGGGGTCTTGCTGTGTTGCCCAGGCTGGTCTTGTGCTCCTGGGCTCAAGCAATACTTTCACCGCAGCCTCCTGAAGTGCTGAGGTTACAGGCGTGAGCCACTGTGCCCAGCCTCTGCTCTTTTGAAAACCCATTAGATAATCCTTAGGTTGTCTTCTCAGCAACAGGTAGGAACCACTGGGCTAAGTGGCCTCCCAAACCCAGCCCACTCTGAGATTCCACGCTTCTGTCAGTAGGAATACCTTTGCAGTGCCGTCAGGCTTATTGAGGCTAAAGGCCTACTGATGAGGAATAGTAGCAACACCTACTGAGTGATTATTCTGTGCTGGGGACTTTGCTAAGCATTTCATGCACAACCGTGTTATTCAGCCCTGATGACTCTGTGAGGCATGTTCAGATTGAAAGAATGGCTCACTCTACATGGTGAAGAACAGAACCAGAAATCGATCCCAGGTCAAATGCATTCAATCAGCACGGCCAAGCCCAAGCTGCACTACCTTCCCGAATACAGGCAAGTGAGCTCGCAGGGACGCTTCGCTCTCTGTTACTCACCCCTTCTGGCATCTGCTCACTTGCTGGTCCTCAGTGAACTGTAGGCTTTTGCTAGATAGAAGAAGTTACTTACTTTCTTTTTTTTTTTTTAAGGTGTTTTATTGACTGAAATTTAGGAGTAGGCATTACGATGGGGAGGAGAGAAATTAAAAAGGGTGAGGGAAGGCAGTTTAGATTAAAATGTTGCTGATTGAATTTATATTCCTGACAATCCCCATTTTGTGTGCTAAACTGATCAAAGGAAGAAAAGATGAGATGGAAGATCATAAAGGCGTCGTCCCTCCCACAAGCATCACCAGAGACCTGCAGTTAAGTCAGGGCTGGATGGCTTAGAAGCAGCTCAGGGAGCTGGGCTTCCTCTGTAGGCTGGCAGCTTTTTAAAGACTAGAGACTTCCTTCAAACTAAAAGGGTTTTCAGGCTGGGTGCGGTGGCTCATGCCTGTAATCCCAGCACTTTGGGAGGCCGAGGCGGGTGGATCACTTGAGGTCAGGAGTTCGAGACCAGTCTGGCCAACATGGTGAAACCCTGTCTGTACTAAAAATATAAAAATTAGCTGGGCGTGCTGGCACGCACCGGTAATCCCAGTTACTCGGGAGGCCGAGGCGTGAGAATCACTTGAACCTGGGAAGCAGAAGCTGCAGTGAGCCAAGATTGTGCCACTGCACTCCAGCCTGGAGTGCAGACTCTGTTTCAAAAAAAGTAAAAAATAAAAGGGGGGTGGGGTGTTTCAGATGGAAGGGAAACTGTGATACATTTGTTAATAAATAGACTTGAGCAATCAACTTGAGTGGTGTCCACTTGTTAAGTTTAAATGGCTGAGCAGAGGTCTTTATGCTGAGCAGTAAACCTCAGGTATACTCTTATCAAACATTTCCTACTCATCCCTTTGGTTTTCCCTTCTAGATTCTGCCATGTAAATGTCAGCTTGAGTGGACTCCAGCTGAGAAGAAAGAGAAGAAATACTTAATTATTGAATACATTGTCAGAGGATAAACTCCCAACCTAGACCTTGCACTTACAATAGTGTGAATTTGTCCATGTTTTTAAAAGAACCAGTCCTGGCCGGGTATGCTGGCTCTTACCTGAAACCCCAGCACTTAGGGAGGCCAAGGCAAGTGGATCGCCTGAGGTCGGGAGTCTGAGACCAGCCTGGCCAACATGGTAAAACCCCATCTCTACTACAAATACAAAAATTAGCCAGGTGTAGTGGTGCACGTCTGTAATCCCAGCTACTCAGGAGGCTGAGGCAGGAATTCTCTGCTTGAACCCGGGAGGTAGAGGTTGCTGTGAGCCTAGATTGCACCACTGCACTCCAGTCTGGGCAACAGAGCAAGACTCTGTCTCAAAAAAAAAAAAAATTAAAATTGAAATTAGAAAAATAAATAAAAGAACCAGTATTTTGTTTACTAAAATAAAATGCCTTTGTAAAAAAAGGTGTCGTGGCCTTTGGAATAAATCAAATTGTATGTCTCTTTCTCTTACACAGCACCCTCCACCGCATGTTGTAAAGTGGGGTGGTTTGTAAACCCACAGCTCCCCCACCATCTCAAGCTGGGGGTTCCCAGGTGAGAGGCTTCCATAGAGGACTGCTGTGGAGGTGGGGTCCCCAGCACTGGGTGCCTCGGCTAGCTACCCCCGACCCCGGGTCCCCTCATAGGCTGCCCTCTGTACCCTCCTTTCTCCTCTTTTCCTCCTACAGGTGCCAGACCCCTGTGAGAGTGTTTCAGAGTGTTCTCATTGTTAGGGTGGAGGGAGGCTGTGTGCGTCCAGGTGAGCTGGCCCCGGGGGCAGTCGTGGGAGCCCACCTGTGTGCCTCAGAAGTCCAAGGCGGGGGATCTGCTGACCAGTAGACACTCATGTGCTAAACACAAGTGCTCTTCTAGGCTTTGGGATTTAAAGCTACACTTTGGAATTTGTGGAAGATCTGGCCATCTTGGAAAATTAGGTAGAAGATGACATAAGGGCTGGACTAAACCACTGATCATGCCAGCGGTGCCCACGGCTTTTCTGTTGTTTGTTTTTGTTTTTTTGGAGATGAGGTCTTGCTGTGTCCCCCAGGTTGGAGTGCAACAGTACAATCATGGCTCACTGCAGCCTCGAACTCCTGAGCTCAAGCTGTCTTCCCACCTCAGCCTCCCGAGGAGCTGGGACTAGGCCCTGCTAATTTTTTTATTTTTAGTTGAGACAAGGGTCACGCTGCATTGCCCAGGCTGGGTGTAGGTTTTTTGTGAAGAGCATTTGGGAGTTTTGTTTTTGCTTTGATACTTTTCCTATACACTCTTTGACCACTAGGGGGAGATGATTAATCACTAATCGAAGGGATTTTGTTCGTTTTTTCTGTTCTGAGTTTTTTTGTTTGTTTTTTTTCAATAAAGAAGGAGTTTAACTGAAGTAAGGCAGGCCACGCAGGAGATGGACTTATTATTCAAATCGGTCTCTGAAGGCTCAGAGGTTAGGGGTTTTCACGGTGGAGTTCTTGCTATCATTCCACCTCTTAGGTACATGAAGTCGGTAGATGTGTAGTTTGATGTTAAATTATTGGCCAGATGCATGCACCGCTGGTTGTAGAGATGGTAAAGCCCACTAGCAGGACCCCACCTGGACCACAGCGATCCCGCAACCCTCTGGACCATGACTGAGAACAAACACAAAGGACCTGAGATGTGTTGCAAGGCCAGAAGCCGACATCCGCATTCTCCACCCACGGAGAGCCCCAGAGTCCCTCATGCACATCCTGCT